GTTCTGATCTTTAACACACGGGTTACCAGGAGTCAGAATCAACTCCATGGCAACGAGTTTGGTTTTGTGCTTCCAGTCTTTTGGGTGACCAGTTTGTTTCTGGTTTCCGGCTAGCTTTGGTCTGGTTCGATAGGGAGTTTGGGTCACTGGAGCCTTTGAGACCCAAGACATGCGTTTTCTTTTCCTGGTCGGTCCTGAGCTGGGTTTATAAAGGGGAGTAGCCTTCCATTGGGACTAAGGAGATGTGCTCATACTGAGACCTCAAGGGGGAGGTGAGAACCCAGAGTCCTCTGGCACTCTATCTGGCTTAAGTCTGAGGGCGAGGTGTGTCTGTGTTTGCCCAGGAACCCAGGTTCGCAGACTCCCTTCTCACCCGGGACCCAGAAGTTCGCTCTCCCAGCCTTCTACATTTAGATCCCAGGTTTCTCGGTTCTCAGCCGCTTGAGTCCGATGCTGCCCCCTGGTGGGTGGACACCTTACCTGGCTTGAGAGAGGCCAAACTAGTTAAATACCTTTTATTTACAAATAAAACAAACACACGAAGAAACTAACCGACCAGAAGGGGAGGTCCAGGCCCCGCTCCCGTGGCGGTCGCAGGAGCAGAAGGCAGCGGTGGAGTGCAGGTCCAGCTCTCGGTGACTGGTGTGTGTGCGCCCCCTCCCCCAGGCCGGGGTCCCAGCCTGCAGCCCCCGCCCCAACTTAAGGCACAGCCCGCTCCCTCTTGCCGTGCCCTAGCATACGGGAGCCCCTCGAGGAGGGGTCCCCGCAGCCCGTCCCCGGGCGCATTTACCACGGAGGCCGGCGCAGATGGGTACATACAAGAGGCCTTTAGTGTCGCCCTGCCCGGCCCCATCTCCCCGAGCGGCCCAGCTCAGGCCGGCGGCGTGCGCGGTGGCGTGGCGGGCGCCGACCGGCGCTCCAGGCCTCGGTGGGGCGCGGGCGCGGCGGTGCCGGGCGGGGTGAGGACGAGGCGGATGCGCTCCACGCACAGCGCTGTTGCCTCCCGCGTCTCGCGGCAGAGGGCGGCCAGGCTCAGGAACCCATGCGGCAGGTCCTCCACCACGCGCAGCGTCACGGGCTGGCCCAGGCTGCGCAGCCGCCGCGCGAACATGACCGAATCGTCCAGCATGGGGTCCAGGGCGCACGCCTGCGGGACCGCGGGGGTGGGGGTGGGGGTGTGGAAGAGGTAGACCGGCAGACCCGGACGTGGGGGCATCCAGAAGGGGGACCGACAGACAGGTGGGGGTTGATGGATGAAGGGAGGGGGAAACACATGGACATGAGGGTGGACAGAGGCAGGAGACACGGGGGAGGCGGGTTGAGGAGAAAATGGAGAGAATAGGTGGAAGTGTGGGAAAAAGAGAGAAGAATGAGTTTAACTGGGCCCCCCAGGCCTGGCTGCTTCCCGGCCTCTCTCCCCCACAGAGATCCACCTCTCCCTCCCTCCGACTTTCCAAGCCCAGCGGCTGCCGGGACCTTGTGTCTAGGCGCTCATTAAGATTGCAAAAAACAAACAAAACGGCTCCCTCCAATTCCCAGACATC